TTTTTTATGAAATCTTACAGGCTGTGTTATATACTGCAATGAACCCAAGGGAACTAGATCCAACTGGAAACATATTACCTATTGGGTCTCCCCTCAACTCACCCTCTTTGTCCTCAGCAAGACTCTCCCCAAGTCGTATCCCTCTTTCTCCTTCCTCTTCCCGTCTTTCACCATGTCCAGTTACCTCAGGCTCTTCTCCCTCCCATCTCTCACCATTATCCACTTCTCCTTCTCGTCTCAGTCCGTCTTCTCACTTTATTTCATCGTACTCTCCTGTTCGTCTGTCTCCCTGTCCCCCTTGTGACCCATCTACCTCACCCACTAGCGTGTCCCCCTGTCCCATACCTCTTTCCCCCTCTTTTGTCTTAAAAAAGCCCATCCATATTTCCTCCTTCAGTCAGACCGGGCAAAGCTTGGAACATCAGAACCTGATTGATAGTTCTCCACAAAGGTATGTTTCACTCAGCAGAGACGTTTTCAAACTTTTTGATGCCAAGGACCCCCAAATTTGCAGATCCCCTCATGAGGAACCTCCTTCCTAAAATATAAAGACTCGTTTTTTTCCTGTGTGAGAAACAATGATACTTTAAAGCATTGCGTTTTGTAAAATTAAATACTAATATACAATAATACATAATATTATAAACTAAATACTAAAATAATTCTATCAACGCAAATAATTAAAATGTTATCTGAAAAATAATTACTTGGTGTTGAGTGTTTATTTTTCTCTCCACTAAATTTGATACAAAAACCTAATGTGAAAAGTTTTCAGTTAAATAAAAACGTATTTGTACAAAATTGTAACTCTAAATATAATTACAAAACACAGTTTTACAGTTAACTTTTAAATCCTTAAAAATACATTTAAAAATATATAATCCCTATAATCCTGTTGCGTCCCCAGGGGGTCCCTAGATGCCAGTTTGAGAACCCCTGTCCCAATATACTACATTATCATGTGTCATTTCCTAATATTACATATTGCTAATGTCTTTAATTTTACAATATTTTACTCTGTTGAAAAAATTTGACTATAAAAAACTTCAGTTTATTCATCATACTTAATGCTACCGTGTCCATTTTTACTGTTCTGTGTTCTACAGTATCATCAATACAGTGGATACATCCCTAAATTCACCACAACTGAAGTCAGTCAAGACTTCTTCTCAATTAGACAAAACAATTAGAGTGCTACCAACTGACGAAAACAAACCATTACATTCTACTGATATGCGTGGTAAAGCAAGGCCAGTAGAAAACAAAATATCTAGATTCATGCCCATTTTATCCACTGAGAGAAGCGTGAGATCAATCCCCATATCCAACACGGGGGGTCAAAAAAAGCAAACTGGCCTACAAAAAGATCCATTCAGACCTCCACAGCAGGATAAACTAAAGCAAAATTCGAACATCTGTTGCAGGGGAGTTACCAAGTCTTCAATGTCTGAAAGCTTAAGCCCTAAAAACCTCAGACATGTTGAAAAAAATGCATTCAGACCACAAAATTTAGCTAGCTATCAAAAGAAGTGCCAATCCCAAGACCCTACTCTAGTTCGAATCCGGCTTGGATTGATTAAAACAGGCAGGATTATAAACTCTGGTGCCCAGTTTTCTAATCTGGAGAAGATCAAGAAAAGCAGTGAAGGGAACAACCCAAAAATTCAGAGCGATGGACATCCTGCTGTTTCGGAGAAGTTAAAACAACCTGTTCGTTCAAAGATAATGTTAGGGGCAGCCAAGCAGATAATAAGTCCCACCATGATGTGTGAGAGGAGCTGTGGGAAACCTCAAAACCACCCACAAGTTTCAGCTGAAGGAACAAGACAACTCTCCACACAGTCAGCACTTACAAATCCAATCTCATCACCTAAAAGTATCACAAACCAAAAGAATATTTTTCAAGAACTGGACAATGTAAGTTCTCCAAAGGAATACAGTGTACTGGTTTCATCCAACTCAGAGCTTCAAGACAGAGCTTCAGAGGACTGTAATGCAACCAATGATCGTTCTCATGAAAGTAATATGATGATGAACTCTTCCCAACAGAATCAAACCAGTGCTAATGACAACCAAGAGTCTAAACCAAAGATCAGGCCTCAGTCTGCAGCTTCTGAAACAGACACCGCTGTCATCACATCCCGCTACAGTAAAACATCAGGTCAGTGCAGCCAGATGAGCTGCTTCCAGTTCCCTTTGAAGAGTCACAGATCAGCCACTGAATGCGGTCAGCTGAGCCGAATCTGTAGACCTGTGATCAAAAGAACATCTGACAGTAGACCTACATACTTCAAAACTCCTCAGGCATGGAGAAGATCTTCCTCAAACCAAACAGGGAACACGAGAAGGAATGGCAGCAATTCATCCCAAAATAGATGCAGCTTTTCGGATTCAGATTCTTCTAAATCCTCTTCAAGCGAAGCGACCTTGCATGAAGATAACAGATTTGCAAGAAGATACAGAGGCTCGCTGTTATACAAAAAGTGTGCGACTAGTTGTCCAACTAAATTTGTTGGAGAGAAATGCGATGCAGCTATTCACCCGGACCTCTCGGACAGCCCAAACACACACACACACAGCTCTGAAATGTTGAAATGTTCCATGGCTGGATGGATGCCGCAGTGTCCATTCACTCTAGATCAACAACAAGAGTCCAAACACACACTTCATTCTACAGACTGTGAGAGATTTCAAGACATAAACTCCTCGTGGTTAACAGACCAAGAAGACCCCCCACCAGTACAGCCATCTGTAGTCGCAGACATGAGGAGTGGAGCAGACTTAGAGTCCTGTCTTGAAGAATGCTTGTATACAGGTGAGTGCAAAGCTAAGTTACTGGAATTGCATTAAAAGGATTGTATATAAAGCTGCTTAAAGACATGAGAATCCCAAATAGCATGTACTGTATATACATAGCGGCATTATTTAAATTTAGTATATAAACAGCCTAGGCATGTAAAGTATCATGTATCAGGGAGGAAGACTTGAACTTGTCATTAGTGGTGCATGTTTGGGCAAGAAGCACAGTTAGTATTTTGATGTTTAGGGTTAGAGATTTGAACCAGCCAAGAAGCCTATTAACATTTTTACTTAAGTGCACAATATGATACTTTAATTTGATACCTTAAATCATGTGGTTAAACCAAAACACCTTTGTAACCATATAACAACATGGTAAAAATCACCTAGAACACCTAAAAAAAATTGCACCAAACACCTTAGGAACTAAAAAGCAACGTGCTAAAAATCACACTAAATACTTTAGCAACATGCTACAAAATCACTCAGAACACTTTAGCAACAATGTGCACTTAGAACCTTGCCACATAGCAATGTGCTAAAAATAACAAGGAGCACTTTAGCAAATACTCGCAACATGCTAAAAATAATTCAGAACACTGTGCAATTTGCAAAAAATCACTCAAAACACTATCAGCCCCATAGCAAAGTGCTAAAAATCACCCAGAACACCTTAGCAGTTGCACAGCAACATGCTAAAATCGCTCGGAACACCTTTGCAACTGAATTGCATTGACCTGGCATGAGCGAGCACTTGCATTTTCATCAGGAACATTTTGAATGGAATACTACTACTACTACTAATACTAGGCTACTAATGGAATGCTACTAGCCTGTAACTGTAATATGAATTCATACAACATTAATGATCTCTACAGTCAGCTCTTTGGGATCATGTAACATAAACACTGGTGATTAATGTGACGTCAGTGTCCAAAAGGGACAATGCTATATAATATATATCACCAAATAAAAATAAGGTCAAGCCAAAAAGGCTTGTGGTAAATCAGTTTTTTAAAATACTCAATATGTATCTAGAGATCTGAACCATATAAACCCTAATATGTGAGTGTTTGCTGAATATAAGCCATGATACTGTATATAGATGACATTGGACAAACCGTAAATGGTATAGTGTGCAAAATAGGGACTCTGCCTTATCATCAAGCACAGGCCTGTCTAAACATAGTGAGATAACCCAGTTATGAGGTAAAAGACACACTGAGGCTCAACGGCACTTCTGTGGCCACTGAATACGCCACAAACACTTCACATGTGAACAGAGTGCATAAGACAAGCAGGCACAGTCGTGAAATGTGAGTAGTTTTGATGACATAAAACGCGCAATCTTCAATTAATAAAAATTTATCTTTTGTTTTGTACAGTTATGTGGTATTGTGAGTTTAAGTTTATATAAAACCGACTTTTATGTACATAATATGATGTATTTCAGGATATTCAATGAGGACAAAATGTTGCATGGAACAAGGTGGTTGGAAAATTAGAGGACTCAATGACATCAGCAGAACGGAATAGATGTTAGTTGATAGTTATTTCTAGATCAACAACAAGAGTCCAAACACACACTTCATTCTACAGACTGTGAGAGATTTCAAGACATAAACTCCTTGTGGTTAACAGACCAAGAAGACCCCCCACCAGTACAGCCATCTGTAGTCGCAGACATGAGGAGTGGAGCAGACTTAGAGTCCTGTCTTGAAGAATGCATGTATACAGGTGAGTGCAAAGCTAAGTTACTGGAATTGCATTAAAAGGATTGTATATAAAGCTGCTTAAAGACATGAGAATCCCAAATAGCATGTACTGTATATACATAGCGGCATTATTTAAATTTAGTATATAAACAGCCTAGGCATGTAAAGTATCATGTATCAGGGAGGAAGACTTGAACTTGTCATTAGTGGTGAATGTTTGGGCAAGAAGCACAGTTAGCATTTTGATGTTTAGGGTTAGAGATTTGAACCAGCCCTTAAGCCTATTAACATTTTTACTTAAGTGCACAATATGATACTTTAATTTGATACCTTAAATCATGTGGTTAAACCAAAACACCTTTGTAACCATATAACAACATGGTAAAAATCACCTAGAACACCTTAGAAACTGCACTGCAACGTTAAAAAAAATTGCACCTTAGGAACTAAATAGCAATGTGCTAAAAATCACACTAAATACTTTAGCAACATGCTACAAAATCACTCAGAACACTTTAGCAACAATGTGGACTTAGAACCTTGCCACATAGCAATGTGCTAAAAATAACAAGGAGCACTTTAGCAAATACTCGCAACATGCTAAAAATAATTCAGAACACTGTGCAATTTGCAAAAAATCACTCAAAACACTATCAGCCCCATAGCAAAGTTCTAAAAATCACCCAGAACACCTTAGCAGTTGCACAGCAACATGCTAAAATCACTCGGAACACCTTTGCAACTGAATTGCATTGACCTGGCATGAGCGAGCACTTGCATTTTCATCAGGAAAATTTTTAATGGAATACTACTACTACTACTAATACTAGGCTACTAATGGAATGCTACTAGCCTGTAACTCTAATATGAATTTATACAAAATTAATGATCTCTACAGTCAGCTCTTTGGGATCATGTAACATAAACACTGGTGATTAATGTGACGTCAGTGTCCAAAAGGGACAATGCTATATAATATATATCACCAAATAAAAATAAGATCAAGTCAAAAAGGCTTGTGGTAAATCAGTTTTTTAAAATACTCAATATGTATCTAGAGATCTGAACCATATAAACCCTAATATGTGAGTGTTTGCTGAATATAAGCCATGATACTGTATATAGATGACATTGGACAAACCGTAAATGGTATAGTGTGCAAAATAGGGACTCTGCCTTATCATCAAGCACAGGCCTGTCTAAACATAGTGAGATAACCCAGTTATGAGGTAAAAGACACACTGAGGCTCAACGGCACTTCTGTGGCCACTGAATACGCCACAAACACTTCACATGTGAACAGAGTGCATAAGACAAGCAGGCACAGTCGTGAAATGTGAGTAGTTTTGATGACATAAAACTCGCAATCTTCAATTAATAAAAATTAATCTTTTGTTTTGTACAGTTATGTGGTATTGTGAGTTTAAGTTTATATAAAACCGACTTTTATGTACATAATATGATGTATTTCAGGATATTCAATGAGGACAAAATGTTGCATGGAACAAGGTGGTTGGAAAATTAGAGGACTCGATGACATCAGCAGAACGGAATAGATGTTAGTTGATAGTTATTATTATTATTATTAATTATTTTGAATTATATATATATATATATATATATATATATATATATATATATATTGAATTAAGAATATATATATATTCTTTTGATTATCATATATTTTCTAACCGAAAAAAAAAATTCCTTAAAGGGGTTTTGAGACTTTAGTCTTTGCAACTTCAGGGATCTTATCTATGCACAATCAGCTTGTAACACTCCAAAGAGAAAGGAAAACTTGAAATCGCATCATATGACCCATTTAAGGAAAGTCATTGTATATCACGTTGTTTTACACTATTCACCAGTCCTGTTTTTAATCATTAGCCACTGTAATAGCCTAGTCTAATTATTCTGCTTGATACAACATGCATTGTAATGTTTAATATAAATATATCTACAAATGTAGCTTACTAAAGCAAACATAGACAAACGGCAACGATTTAAATAGCAGAGTGCCGCAAAAATATCAAAAATCACCTAGCGACCCCAATCCCTAATTTCAGTTTGACCCGTGCACTGAGCATGCGCACTGCATCACCCCAGTCTCCCGTTAGTTTCCTTGGTAACAAAAAAAGGGTGGAGGAAGGATTGAGGTGCATCGAGCTGCGAATAGAAAGGCGAGAGACGGGGTGAAAGAAAGAGGGAGAGAGGTACCTGAACACATGATCATTCCCTAACGTCTGTCCAACTCCTGCCTTAGCATACTTATACTTCAATAGACTGTAAAACAGTGAGAGGCAGAGAAAGGACGACAAATAAAACATATCCTTCGATCGCTACAAAAACACGGATCGGTAAGTTTCCCTCTGATTATTATACGGAATCCTTCTGAGGTAAAACATGATGGAACAAACGGGGAGGGTAATGTGTGTATGTTTGGCTTCCCGTCCTTTAAACCGTCAGTAGCGTTTAAAATGCCATTAATACTAATATTATTCTCTATTGAAAGACGCACATCATTGTCGCTTTGAAGGAAACCTCTCAAGTTATGTGTTGGTGTTTAAAGAGCGTCTTGGTGCGTGAGAAAGGTCCAACCATGGGTGATTAATTCGATAAAGAGATTTGTTGAGTGGCCTCTGTAATAATTCATTATTTGTTTCTGATAATGGGTGGCATGTGTTAATATAGGCCGACAACTCAGTGGAGCATTTAAAGTGGACTAGGCTGGGAAATAGGAGCACTAGATCACAATAGCATACAAAGGATTTGAAAGACAAATTATTCACTGATGTATAATCTTTGTGGTTTTCCTCCGCAAATCCTATTTTTTCTAAACAACAACATATTGTACATGCAAAACAGAGTAGAGGAGAGTGGGGTAAGCTGTACTACTTTTTTTTATGTTGTCCTTTAGGCAAAAAGAAATGTGGCTTAAAGGGATAATTCACCAAAATGTTAAAATTCTGTCGTCATCATTTACTCACCATCCACTTCCAAACCTGTATGAGTTGATTTCTTGTGCTGAACACAAAAGAAGATATTTTGAAGAATTCTGGTAGGTTCAGACAGTTGATGGTAGCCATTGACTTTTGGTCAAGTGTAGGTAAAACGAATATTTCTATATTGTAAGATTTCTGCTGTGCAGTGTAATTTGAAAATATATAGCAGCATATGTAACAGAGTCATAGATATGCTGCTTCACAACACAAAATAAACAGTGATCCACATACTTATGTTGTCATATTAGAGATTAAAAATATTATCATAACAAATATTAATATAAACAAAACAATTTTAAGTCATATTTTGCTGCATATTATTTGCAAAAGCTTCATATTAAGAATATGTGAATGTAGTTTTTAAAACTTACATTTAAAATTATATTATCATAACTAATATTCATATAAACATAATTATAGTAGAATGTATTTTGCTGCATACGATTTGCATTCTAAAGTTTAATATTCAGAATATTTGAATGTAGTTATATACTGATTATATTCAAATAAAATTTGTATTATAATATTAATATAAATAAGTCATAATTTGCTTTACATTATTTTCATCTAAAAGTTCACTATTCAGTATATTTAAGTAGTTAAATGCTACCTTCAAATTAAATAAATAATACAAATAAAGTAAAAAATTATCATTTGCAGCACCTTAAATATATGATCACATAAATCTACTTTACTAGATTTAATGGCGGAAAAATAACATTTTGCCTGATTAAATGTATTGATTGTTTATGATTCACTCTTTCACACAGACATGTCAGAAATTGTGCCCCCTGAAGTGAGACCCAAACCTGCCGTCCCAGCTAAGCCATCTCATGTGGCCCCGCCTTCTAGCGTTCCCTTTGTGCCTTCACCCCAAGGAACGGGGGGTGAAGGTCAAGGGTCAGGTCGAGGATCTGCATTGTTTGGATACATCGGAATAGACACCATCATTGAGCAGATGCGGAAGAAGACCATGAAGACAGGCTTTGACTTCAACATCATGGTGGTTGGTGGGTGGGAGAGCAGTTTGTTCACATTTACTTTTTACTTTTTTCACTTTCTTACCATTTCCCCTCTTTCTCTCTCTCTCTATCTCCAGGTCAGAGTGGTCTTGGGAAGTCTACTTTAGTGAATACTCTCTTTAAGTCACAGGTGAGCAGGAGGAGCACAAGCTGGAGTCGTGATGAGAAGATCCCAAAGACTGTTGAGATTAAATCTGTATCTCATGGTAAGAGCATACTGATCACGTGACTTCTAAACATTTAACTGTGTCTCATTGTGTCAAGGATTCACAACAGCATCCGTTGTTTGTTCAAGGAAACCTTTTAAGCACTGGTTGCTAAAGGACAGACCTTTCACTTGACAGAAATAGACATCATGGACTAATTAAGAAAGACTAATTTAGTTACTGCTGATGTAATCAACACACCAGGGCCTGTAGCACAGTGGTGACCTAAAGCATATGTGCTTTTGAGTAAGATGTGTCTAGACTGGCATGTGTTGTGCCCAGGCAAAGTTAGGAGGCCAGCTGTTGGTGAATCCCCTATAGGTAAGTGAACAGCTGGCAAACTAAATGATATCATATGTATCCAAATGGTGTACAGAAAAAGGCTAGATATTTATTTCTTATTGACGTTGTGAGATATTGTTCTTATGGTGTTTGAAATGTAGGTGTGAAATAGGTGTCAGGTGGGAAATGTTTTAAATCATCATGAAATTGTGTCTAGATAAACATGTCTGACTTAAAAAAAATAGTTAACCCATGTAACGTAGTTTAGATAAGGAAGGAAGAAGTCAGGGTCATCTTTACTGAGGCTCGTGATCTTTATCGAACGTTTCAGATTTCCAAAACAAAGTCACGCCCACTTCGCTTCAAATAAATTCAGTCCCAAAATAAATAAATCCATGGGCAACTCTCCAGAGCATTTGACACACACACACACACACACGAGTCCTCAGTCAGTCTCCCTCCTCTCGCTTCCTGTTTCCTGGTGGCTTTTAACCAGTCTCTCCACGCCAATTACTGCAAGCAGACACAGGTGATTGTCATTTTGCACTTAACTTACTTACCGCTCATCTTCAGTCCCTCTCTACTGCTGCAGACACCTCTCTGGACCACAACCCCCTTTCCACATACCCCCACCACCTGACTCAGGCCACAGCAGGGGTGCGTGGCTGAACAGAGAGTGAATTCCCATCCCAGGAGATAATAGCGGAGAGTGAGAACGGCCCACCTGATCGCCAAGCATTCTTTTTCAATGGTGCTGTACTTCATCTCTCTTTTAGAGAGCTTCTGATTGATGTGCAGCACCGGCCGCTCCTCTCCCTCTATCTCCTGGGACAGGACCGCTCCAAGCCCTCTATCTGACACTTCCGTCTTTAGCAAAAAAGGGAGAGAAAATCAGCAGAATGGAACAGCAGTCCGCCACACAGAGCAGCCTTTACCTGGGTGAAAGCCTGCTGACACAGCTCCGTCCACTGGACCGGATCTGGTGCTTCCTTTTTATTGAGGTCAGTCAGTGAGCTGGTGAGGTCAGAATAATTAGGCTCAAACCTTCTGTAATATCCCCCCAGCCCCAGAAACTGCCTCACCTCCTTTTTGTTCTTGGGTCTTGGGCAGGTTGCAACTGCTCCCGTCTTACTAATTTGGGGATGCACCTGTCCGTGACCCAAGTGGAAGCCCAGACACCTGATCTCCACAGCCCAACTGCACACTTCTTGGGGTTGGCCATCAATCCAGACAGTCTCAGCACTCCCAGGACAGCATGCAGATGCCCCAAATGACACTGTCAATCATTACTATAGATGATAATGTCATCCAGATAGGTTGCGGTATATGCAGCACATGGCCGGAGAATCATGTCCATGAGATGTTGAAAAGTGGCCAGTGCCCCGAACAACCCGAAAGGAAGCATAACAAATTGGTGCAATCTAAATGCCATTGTGGACGCTTTTTTTTCTTTGGATATGGGCAATAAGGGGATCTGCCAATACCTTTTATTTAAATCCAGTGTCAAATAAAATCAAGCTGTACCAAGCCGATAAAGCAATTCATCAACCCACGGCATTGGATATGCATCAGATTTCGACACAGCACTCACCTTGCGATAATCCACACAGAATCGTACAGAGCCGTCCGTTTTTGGCACTAAAACTATCTGGTTTGCCCAATTGCTGTGGGATTCTTCTACTACCCCCATGTCTAGCATCGCCTCTTATTTAGTCTGAACCACATTTTTTGTGTTCAGGTAAAAGATACTGCCAGCTGCGCACCACCACGCCCGGCTTGGTCTAAATATGGTGCTGAATGAGATTTTTTCGACCAGGCAGGGGCGAGAACACGTCTGCAAAATTCTGCTTAACCTAGCTACATCAGTGAGCTGTGAAGGCGAGAGGCGATCTCCTCCTGGGGACAGAGCAAGAGATTGAACTTTGGTGCTCACTTCTGGCCCAAGATCTTCCTCTCTGCTCACTGCCATCACTAACATCACTGACTCCGCCTCACTCCACTTTTTAAGGAGGTTGAGGTGATATATCTGATGTGCCCCCCTCCTGCACATTTGAACCACCTCATAATTGAGATCCCCAACTCGCCGTGTGACCTCAACAGGTTCTTGCCACTTGGCAAGTAATTTAGAGCCAGACGTAGGAAGCAATATAAGTACCTTATCTCCTGGTGCAAATTCACGTAGTCTGGTTTCCCTGTTGTACAGCCGGCTCTGTTTGTCCTGGGCCTGTAACAAATTCTCTATAGAGAGCCACCTCAAAGTGTGGAGTTTTGTTCTTAGGTCTAGCACATACTGAATTTTGTTGCTGAAGGTCCGGCCTCCCAAGTTTCTCTCAGGATATCCAACACCCCATGGGGCTGACGTCCATAAAGAAGCTCAAAGGGGGAAAACCCTGTGGAGGCTTGTGGGACCTCTCGCACAGCGAACAAGAGGGGTTCCAGCCATTTGTCCCAATTTTTGGCATCTTTGTGAACGAACTTTCGAATCATGGTTTTTAATGTGTGATTAAATCGTTCCACCTGGCCGTCTGTTTGTGGGTGATAGACGCTGGTGCAAATCTATTTAATGCCCAATAATTCTTAGTTCACATAATGTTCGTGACATAAATGCTGTGCCTTGATCAGTGAGAATCTCTTTCAGGATTCCCACTCAGGAGATCAAACGAAATAGTGCGTCCACTACACTTTTTGCGGAAATGCTGTGGAGTGCCACTGCCTCTGGGTATTGTGTTGCATAGTCCAGCAGCTCTAATGCAAAGCGATGCCCATGTGCAGATCATTCTAATGGCCTGATGAGGTCCATACCAATTCTTTTGAAGGGGAATTGAAGGATTTACCAGCTAACATTCACAACAAGCCGTGAACCACATGCGCACATTCTTGTGAATGCCGGGCCAAAAGAATCGGGTCATGAGACGATTTATTATCGTTGCCTGTCCAAAATGTCCTGCCATAGGATTACAGTGCGCCGCCTGGAACAGCATTTCCAGATGGCTTTTTGGTACTAATAATTGGGTTGTATATTGTTTTGTCTTGAGTGTCTTGTGTCAACCTATCTTTTAAAATAGCAAAACATGGATAGGAGAGGGGACGAGCAGGTTGGAGAGGTTGACCGTCGATGGACTGGACCTGTTCAAAAGCATGTTTTAATGTCTCATCCTGAGACTGTTCCAGGGGAAAATCATCATGCTGTGCCAAGGGTCCCGGTTCAGCCTCTCCCACCTGCGTGACCACCGCCCTCCCATGTTCTCTCTTCCCACAAGAGACATCCACACATAAATATCCCAATAATTCACTAAACGGGGACCAATTTGTTCCCAAAATTAGTGGATGTCGGAGGCACGGGTTAACTGCAACCACTACACTATGATTTTTTCCCCGAAATTGAATAACAGTGGACATTATAGGATATTCCACCACATTCCCATACACACACCATACCTGAACCATGCGGCTTTTATCCAATGCCTCGGGCTGAATCAGGCTTTGATCAATCGAGCTCTGGTTACATCCTGAATCCACCAAAGCCTGATAAGTAACCCCTTAATACTCGCAGGTATTTGGTATAAGCCAGCTTGAATGGGGGCAGCCTGTGGGGCGTCTGGGACCCGGATCCAGTGTCCCAACCCCATCACTGGACACCTGTCAATAAAATGCCCCAGATCCCCACAGTGCCAACAGGCCGGCCCAGACCTCCCCGCCACCCTAGTGGCAAGAAGTGGGTCAAGGGATTGATGTGGAGAGAGCAGGGAAAAATGAGCTGACGCGGCGCCAGCACTGGCCATCCTCAACTCCCTGGGCGGTACTCCCAAGGGAGTAGAGGGAGGACAACCAGGGGAGGAGAGAGAGAGAGAGAGGCAGCTGGAAGGGATTTGCCGACCCCTGGGCACGCCACCATCTGGTCCTCTGCCAGTTGAATGGCCAGGTCCAGTGACGTCGGGCGGTGGCACTGGACCCACTCTGCCGTCTTCCTTGGGACGATAAACTGTTCCAGTACCACACGGTCGATGTCGCTTCCCATAGCCAACAGCCATTTGCAGCATGCGCTAGAGCTGTTGAGCCATCATGAAGGGCCGACCTGCTGCAGGATGGCTCTTTTCAGGTCGTCAAAGACCAGGAGGTTCTTTACAGGCAGTTGCTGGGCTGCCACTTGCGCCTCTCCTGAGAGCAGTGGAATGAGGCGCAATAGCCAGTGGTCTCGGGGCAACCCACATGCCTCTGCTGATTTCTCAAAGAGATAGATGAAGGCCTCAGGGTCGTCCTGCGGCCCCATCTTATTCAGAGGCACATGAGTGGGTGTGGCTGGGTTCGGTGGTGGAGCCCCTCCTGCCTGAACGACCCGGAGGTTCCGGAACAGCTTGCAATCCTCCTGTTGCGCATGGAAACTATGCTCCTGGTCGTCCCGCATGTCCAGCAGCGCCTGATGGTGTTCCTGGTGGAGTCCCACAAACGACTGGATAACCTCTGCAAATGGCGAACTTGACAGGGACTGCATGACAGTGGTGCCGTCCCTTCTTCCTTCCCGGGTTTCGGCACCAGTGGAAAGTAGTTGAGATAAGGAAGGAAGAGGTCAGGGTCGGCTTTACTGAGACTCGTGATCTTTATTGAACATTTTCACAGTTCTAAGGCAAAGTCACGCTCACTGTGCTTCAAACAAACTCAGTCCCAAAATAAATAAATTCACGGGCAGCTCTCCAGAGCATTCGACACACACATGTCCTCTGTCAATCTCCCTCCTCTCACTTCCTGTGTCCCGGTGGCTTTTAATCGGTCTCTCCATGCCAATTACTGCAAGAAGACACAGGTGATTGTCATTTTGCACTTACTGACCTACTTACTCACCATTCGTTTCCCATCCCTCTGTCCCGCTGCAGACCTCACTGAACCACGCCCCCTCGCCTCAACCCAAAAATCACAACTTATCATTTAATCACTTTCATATCGTTCTAAACCCATAAGACTTTGGTTAAACTTCAGAATAAGATATTTTTAATGAAACCTAAGAGGTTTTTGTATTTGCTTTGAATATCCAGGTCACCAAAACTTAGAAGATCTAAGACTTGCATTAGACCGCTTGATTCATATGGATTAATTTTACGATGCCTTTATGACCTTTTTGGATCTTCTAAGTTTTGTTTACCTGGACTTTTAGTTGACCTCTCAGGTTTAATTAAAATATAAAAAATTTGTGTTATAACAGTGGTTCTCAATTCCAGTCCTGGGATACCACTGCTCTGCATATTTTGTATGTCTTCCTTATTTAACACACCTGATTCAGATCATCAGCTCGTTAGGAGGGAGATCCATGAACTGAACCAAGATCGTCAGATAAGAGAGACATACAAAATGTGCTCAGCAGTGGTAGCCCAGGACTGGAATTGAGAACCACTGTGTTAGAACATTAAGTCTTATGGTTTGGAATGTAAATGATAACAGAATTTTTATTTTGGGGTGAACTGCCCCTTTAAGAATGTTTCAACTGTTTTTGTCCATATAATAAAAGTCAGTGGTGTCGATTCAATACTGGACCGCATTCATGATATGGACAAAGGTGGTGTTATTTTGTGACACTGAACCACTATATCCTGTCACAGAAACAATCACTGGCTGCATTTACTGCATTTGTAGCTTGATAAATATTGATTTTGCAGTGATTGAGGAAGGAGGGGTGAAGATGAAGTTAACAGTCATTGACACACCAGGTTTTGGGGACCAAATCAACAATGAAAATTGGTGAGTATTGTGTTATTTGTGACTTCTCTGTTAAAGCCAGAGGACCGGTAGCTATTTTTAACTAATTTAGTTGTTGCATATGATTCAAAATACCAGTGCATCCTGCATCACTGCATCTGGGAAATTGAGGACACGTATTTGTGTTAGATAAAATAAATGGGGTCAATTGTGTGCTTAATTTTGGCTGCTACTAACTGGCTTCAAAATTGAACAAAAATGTTCCAAGTGTGAGGGTCAGTGTTTTGACTTCCATATTTGCACTTAATTTGCACAGACAAGAATCAGGTGTTAATGTTGCCTTTTATGCAGCTTTTTATTCATACAGAACCAAAGCTTAAAACCTAAATTTCTTTTTAATTTTTCGCTTGGGGTAAAAAGAAGTTTGAAATACGTGAGCAGTGGTATACTTTTTTTGCAAATATCCCGACGCCACCCATGATGTTGAGAGAGGCATTTAGATGAATATGTGCTGCATGCTTTCCTCTCAATAACGAAACAAATACACAACAAAAATGACAACACTGAGAAAACAGAAGTTGATCTTATCAGAGTGATGTGGGTATGTTTGCAATAGCTCTGTAATTCAGCACTCCGGTAAAGTCACGTCATATTTTATTTATGTAGAACTTCATACAATAGATTGCTTTAAAGCAAGCGGCTTTATCATATTAAACATGAAATAACAGCATCAGTGTCACTTGGTTTCAAGTAGAATTACAACTTCAATTTCTACTAAACAGTAAGTCTCCGGTATGTGTGTTTTTACTTGTGTCTGACCAAGACGGACTGAATAGAAGAAATTAACCACTTTTCTGGAACGTTCACTTAAAGCTGTTTCAAACTCTGAACGAACTACAAACAAACTGTTTGGCCTAGTCTGGTTTTTAATTTGCTGTTTCAACGTTTCGTGTGCTCTAACATAGCTCTCAACATGCAACATTGTTGAATTTTTTCCCTTTGTGTTCCGAGTTGGGAGCCCATATCCAAATACATCAATGAACAATACGAGAAATTTTTGAAGGAAGAAGTCAACATTGCTCGCAAGAAACGCATCCCTGATACCAGAGTACACTGCTGCTTGTACTTCATATCTCCAACTGGACACTCGTGAGTTTGAATTACATGAGAATATTTTACTTTAGTTCGTATATCATACTTGTACCAGATTCTATCAGTATGTATCGAAGTTTATTTTTTCATCAAATATGACAGCATAGTATATGATCAGCCACAGCTAATCACATACTGAATCAGCTCACATTTTGGTGCCATATTATTAACTGTAATTAATCAAATTGGTCTCTGTCGAGAACACCAATAAGTTAATGGATTTCTGTGTGCTTCTCTGGAGTATTAATATCTTTGAGATTTATTTGTATTATTTGTCAATAGTTGAAAAATGCTTTCAGTTGCAGCTTCATTAATTATTGAATTATTGAATATTTAGTGAAATCTGAATAGTTTTTCAAACTTGTCAACGTTGTAAATGGTTACAGAGGAACAACTCGGCATCTGATGATCACACACTATCAGACTTTGAGGTCATTCCGAACACACAGATGCATGACAAATGAAAACTAAATGTGTTCAAAAATTGGCTCAAAATATCAAACATGTTTGATATCGTCAGACTGCATAGAATCATAGTCTGTTGTTAAAAATTGAAGTCTGTGATCATCATACTCTACATGGTTTTCTGTGGAATCTGTCATCTCAAATTTGCAGAATGGCTCTGACTTTCGACAACTTGCATTGACTTGTCCAGATTGTAAATTGGAGCAAAAATCTGGGAAAAAAGTTGTGTAGTGTATTCCAGCTGTGTAAGCCGCTGTGTTGATTTAAGACCGTGTGTGTGAGCATTCATTCAGCTGTAATGCTTGACTGAGCTTTATTAGTCAAACTGTGAACCTCAGAAAGGCCAGTGGCCCTGTAATAAAATCTGCTTCTATCAGTCTATTAATTATATCTTTCACAGGCTTCGCCAGTTGGATATTGAATTCATGAAACATCTGAGTCGTGTGGTCAACATCATTCCTGTCATTGCCAAGTCAGACACACTCACTCTTGATGAGAAAACTGAATTTAAACAGAAGGTAAGAATGAAAGACAGATTCACATGGTGATTTAAAATCAAGTCAGTTTTCTCACGCTGATTAATTACAGTTTACTATAATCTCTTGTAGGTGAGGAAGGAGCTGGAAGCGTGTGGGATTGAGTGTTATCCACAGAAGGAGTTTGATGAAGACATGGAGGATAAGAGTGATAATGATAAGATCAGGGTAAGGGGAACTTCTCACGTCTCACATCTTGCATGCTGTTCTTTTTCTTTACATCTCTCTTATCTCATCTTTCATCCCTCATCTGTTGGTCTGTGTGTTTTCACATTATGTTTGTCTCATTAAATCTGTGCATTACAGGAGGCAATGCCCTTTGCCGTGGTAGGAAGTGATAAAGAGTACCAGGCCAATGCCAAACGAATTTTGGGCAGGAAGACACCCTGGGGAGTGGTGGAGGGTGAGTAGGCAGAAGTGTTTGCTGTGTTATTTCAAACCTTTAATGCAGATTTCTGGAATTAAAAAAAAAAGTTATCTGTTTGTTTCACTGTGCCAAGCTAGATTAAAATATTTATTTTTGTTATTGTGGTTCTATTATTATAACAAAATAGATAAGTGGACTTTTGAAACTTTTGAAACTGAAGTCAAATCTTAGAGTAACTGATGAGAACTTCCCGCAGCTGGCAAACAAACCTATAATATTTGGGTCATTTTCTATACTGGGAGCATTTTCTGTCTGTTGCATTTAAAACATGGACTGAAATTGCTTCCAAGAGGATTATGTTTGAGGATTATATGTATATTTGCACAAAATAATACAAATATGTGAACATAAGGAATTTTAATCACTTTTTCATTCAGATGAGGTTCTCCAGTTCTCTCAGGTGCTATTTGTCACCTTTTGACATTTTATAAAAAATTAAATCTCAAAAGGTTACAAAACGAAACTGCATGTTTTCTATATGTTTTCCACCCTGTCAGTATGTACTTAGGGCAGCTTTAACAATTTAACTTGACCAAACAAGACAGTCAATTTCAAGGTATCTTTTTAAGATACTGTGTATAAAGAATGAGCTATTTTACAGTAAACCTTGTGTATTTGTACTTGTGTACAGTGTATTGTGTTGATACATATTTTCTGACAAAACTCTTTTTTTAAAATCTCTGTAGTTGAAAACCCAAATCACTGCGAATTCTCCTTACTTCGTGATTTCATGATTAGGTGATGTATAAAACCTTATTTGATATACTAATCTTAATATTATTGTATTTACTACTGTTCAAAAGTTTGGTGTCAGTAAGTTTTTTTTTTTGTTTTTTTTTTGGAAAGTGTACATTTATTCAGCAAGGATAATGACAATAAAAACATAATGCTACAAAAGATTTCTATTTCAAATAAATGCTGTTCTTTCTATTCACCCTGAAAACAAACAATACTAAGGAGCGTAACTGTTTTCAATATTGATAATAAAAATAAATGTTTCCTAAGCAGCAAATCAGCATATTAGAATGATTTCAGAAGGATCGTGCGACACTGAAGACTGGAGTAATGATGCTGAAAATTCAGCTTTGCATAACAGGAATAAATGTCATTTTAAAATGTACTTAAAAAAATCAGTTGTAATAATATTCCAAAATAATACTGTTTTTACTGTAATACTGTACTGTAACTTTACCCTTGATGAGCATGAGAGACTTTTCAAAAACATAGAAATCTCACTGTCTCCAAATGTTTGAACAGTTAGTCATTTGTTTTTTATTTATTTATTTATACATTTATCAATGTTTATGCTCTCTTAATATCAATAATAATAATATTTAAAAAAACATTTTATATAATTCAATTTGCAGGCTTTATATTACTTTTAAATTTTTTTTTATAAAAAATAACAGTGACTCAACACAAATAATATTGTTATAATACACTCAGGTCTCACCTCCAGGACCTGAAGGAGGTTACTCATAACATCCACTACGAGACGTACCGTGCCAAGAGGCTCAACGATAATGGAGGTCTACATCCCATCTCCTCCTCTGGCCAAGACACACAAGAAAGCAACCTGTGACGAAACAAATAAGCGGCATAGTAAGGATGCGAGAGAAAACCAAGATTCATCTTGTAATAATTCAGCTGTGCGTGCTCAGAAGATTTCATTGCTGTGGAGGTTTTGTCTTTATTCTCCTTTTAACCCTTTGTGGAACATGTCATTATCTCTTGTTGCACAACCTTTGAAAATTAGAAAAAGCCTTCCCCAGTTGCTCACTCTGCTGACTTTAGTGAGCGAGTTTGCTCGTGATAATCATGTTCAGGTCTAACATGATGGTAAATAGCCTTGTGCTATAGCATTTGTAATTGGAAATTGCCCAGTGTTGGCATATCACTTGCTCTGTCCTCTACTACTGGAACCTATACTGCCACTGCAGTCTGCAGCTCAATGGGCCTTATTTATTAAAACATTTAGCACACTTTTAGTACCTATGCCAATTAAACATACTCAAGTTATGTGTAAGCCTACTAAATTTTAACACGCAAGTGTTTTAATAAGTATCTCATTTTCTTTGGCCCTGTAAGAGTACAGCAGTGTTTCTTTAAGTACATTAGATTCTCTAGTACTAACTTTTTACCATTGCTGTGTATCTCTGCCAAAACAAGTCTCCGAGGACTTTGAAGTGACCACTGAAGCATATTCCTACAGATCATTCCAAGCAGGTACAGCAGTTTAAATGCATGCCAGGATTTACAGTGGCTAACGTGTTTAAATAAACTTCAGGAGGAAACTGAAAGAACACCGATTAAAAATGATCAGTGCCTTTAACAAATCAAGAGTTGTGGTTTTGAGGTTTTTCTTCAAGCACATTTTCTATGGACACCCCATGTTTGTGCGAATGAGTACGAAAATTACAAAGCTTTCTCAAAGTTTTGCATACGGTAATAGTGATTTCTGTCTTCAAATGTGATGGAATTTTTATTTTCATTTCCCATGTGTGCCAATATATCCAATTGTGTGTATATGAGTAATTACTTCTACATTCCATCTCACAATATCACTTCACAGAACATTATATATGTAGGAAGTCTACACATACTGATCCTAAATCAGTTGATCTTTTTCATATCACATTTAATTAATGCTGGTGTGGTATAATAAAACACCTTTGGACAATAATTATGAAATATTATTTATATTGTATTTATTATGATGCTTATGTTTTAATTTAATAAACATGTTTGCCATAATTGCCTTGAGTTTTCACATTTGTTTTTTTCGGGTCCAAACACAACTCGGTTTACCAGATGTCTTTTCAGTTCAGTTCATGTTAGTGACTTGTTTCAGTTGTATTGAATAGAACAGAAACAGAGACTGTCATCTCGGCATTTCCCACATTTTGCCTGTAGAGGGAGCCGTATGACTAAAGACTAAACCGAGTCAGTATTCACAGAGTCCAGTGAGTGGCGCGATTCTGAATCGCCACAGAGTTGCCCATTTTCAGGGGAAGTTGCTAAAGGAAGGTTGATTTGTTGCTAAACGACGCGATGCGGTGACGTCATTGCGTAATCACGATGCAAAATTGTGTCACTGCATCAAATCTCAGCCAAAAAAAAAAAAGTAAATATGTTCATTTAGATGCGTTTATAAAATAATATAAATGCATAATATAAATAACTAATTTTAAATACAACATTGAATTATTAAACGCACACATTTTTGAACAGTTACAATTTAAGTTTATTTTTATTAGATAGTAAACTAGTAAAACTACTCATTCTGGACAATTCTAGTTTTAAGCAGTGTATTAGTAGTTCGTATGCTACACTCTAAGAAAAGTCTGTAAAAGTAGGGCAAAATCTATTAATATGAAGGAATTTTCCGTAATTATTATTCACACGTTTTTTTTACCTACATTTTAAATTACGCATTGTATTTTGTGTTTTCGGGTTACAATGGATAACGGATAATGTCCTGGAAAATGACTACCTTTGCTAGGTGCTTTTAGAAGAAAAAGTTGCTAAATCTAGCAACAAAATTGCTAAATTGGCAACACTGGTTCCATTGACGGTTCCCAAACATTGACTAGTACTTCCTGCACTTCTATTCAGAATAAACAGCGCGAAACATACAGCATATCAGTACTCCGATTCCCGAACGAATGACTCTTTTGAGTCGGCTCTTTTTTAGAACCGAACCGAAATATACAGCACAACAAAGGTAGTCCGATTCGCGAACGAATGACTCATGAACCGGTTCTGAATCAAAAACAGGTATGGATCAGTCGGAGCGATAACTCACACAAATTATGTTCATAAAATGTTCGAAATGAAACAATACTACGTTTTATTGCCCAATTAAGACTAAATCAGTATACTTTTTGTTCATATGGCAACGCTTATGAGCTTTGTTGTATCGTGGCAGCATTTTTATATGTAGAAAGCTAGTGCTATGAAGCAGATCGGAAAGGATGTTAAACCGAGCACATGCATGCCAGGGTTTGTGAACGATGAGAACAGAAACTCGAGCTATGTTGAACGGCTCTGTAACGGCGGTAGGCACATGGTGTCAATACAAAAATCACAGCGAAAATCATTTCGTATTTGCTGATATACTCTCATTTTTGATACATCAAACCCAAATAAATATTCGACTGAGGAATGAGAACAGGGTTGCACCCAAAAAATGAGTCTGACTGTAATCACTGCTGATGGACTTTAGAAACTACGTCAAATTTACTAACGGACATTTTGATTCAACATTGTGAAAACGCGTTACCGAAACGTTCCTCTACTGGCAGGAGGCGTTTAATTTTCGAATCTCCCGTTGTCCCGCGAAACGCATGTCTCCTCCCCCTGTTGTTGTACCGTTGGAGAGGAGAAGAGAGCGCGAGTCACCAAGCAAACTACACTGCAGAGGTGCTGTCAGCCCGCTCTCACTGTAGCCTACAGGCAGTCACCTTGTGCAGCTGTCTGTATGACTGTATGTGATTCCGTTGCGTGACGATAAAGACGTTACTAACACAATCCGCGTTTTTAAACTTGTATAATACGAAACCGAGACCGTCGTAGTAACGTATTCTTGGAGATACCGATTGGAAGGCGCTCCGACTGATCAAAAGATTGGGTGAGTTTTCACATTTGTTTCTGGAAAATCAATTTTTGTTCTACTTTTATGATAATATTTGTAATTTTAATATACATTTTAGTGTGATTAATGTATTATTTATATACATTTCATATTGAATTTGGGCTATGTTTATGTTTAAAATTGACCACATAAGGACATCAGGTGTAAACTCATTTAAAGTGACAAACTTCATAAATAAATTAGTCTCTCTAGGCCATTTATGTTACATTTATACAAGGTGAAATTTAACTTGAGTACATTTTTTGTTTGGGTTTGGTTTTCCAAAGTGATAACTACAGGACAATTTCTTTCAAACATGGAAAAATCACTTATTTACAAATCCCAAAATTAAAAGGGCTGAACATGTAGACTTATATAATATTTACGTGTGGGTGGTTTTGGCTTGTGCTTTTCTTAAGAACATGGTTCCCCATTTTTTTTTTTTTTTACATTTCTTTGATCATCTAAGTGGTAGACTGTGGGATTTGGAAGCCAGTGACAAATTTTGTCCCACTATTAACACTACGTCACTTGGCTGGAAACGCTCTGTGGACTAGTGAACATCGACATTTGAAGACGGGTAGAATGGCCTGCAGGATCATGTTACCAGGGATTAGAGTAGACGTCAGTAAATACATCTTGATAGAATGGAACAGATCCATTACAAGAGATCGTAAGAAAATCCTTTGGAACATCCGTTGATGTTCATCATTCTTTTCAAATAGTCCAGGCCTAGTTGAAGGAGCATTCACTTGAGTTCAGAACCCTCTGGAGCAACATCTAGATGTAGTTGAACAGTTGAAGTTGAGCTGTTGATTCACCACTAGAGAGTAAGACTGAGTTATGGAAAGCTATTGAAAATTCTTGATCCTTAATATAATATCTATAACATGTTTTGCGCATCATGTGGATGTCATGTGCCACCTAGCTGAACTGTCTTACTTCTCTTGCCTGTCTACTTATTCCACCGTTTTAATAGTTGTTTTGTTTAGTATAGCAATGGTATAGTAATATGTTAATTTTCCTTGTCTGAGGAAAAAGTATTTTCTTATAATACATTATTGAACTATGTACGTTTTTCAGTCCCACCCCTAAATATCTTTTAAATGGTACGACCCTTTCTGTTGGTAATTTTCCACTCACCCATTGACATTCACTGTGGGGGGAGGGGAACGACTGTGCTAGTCTTGAGTCACAGGGTAGCTGTGCTGTTGTTCTATGTATTCCCTGGTATGTTTTCACTTATATGCTGTCTGACAGTCGTAGACATTTGTTTCACAGACGTCAGGTCTGAGTGTACTTGATTAAAATGCAATTACTGATGCAAGCTGTGCAGTGGCAAGTACAACGTGTTTAACTTGTGGTTCCACGAGTACATGGTTCAGTCTTCCCTTCCATTTTAAGCACTGATAATGGGTGGTGTTATATCACAGGTCCTGGTTGTGCTGTAATTTTTCAATAAAAAAAGAAGGAAATACATCAGAATGTTTTACTTCTTAGTTTTTGTCCATACGTTTTTTTATATCATAAATAGTGTAATGACTTGAAAGAACAAACTTTAATCTCAAAGGAAAATGCGAATCTTCTAACATGTATTGAGATATTCTTGTCAAAACAAACTCAAAAATGGAAAAATGAAAGGAAGGAGTAAGAGAGCTTATCATATTCTGAGTGAAGAAACTAGGACAGAACTGGCTGAAACCGGTTTACTTCCTGATTACACAGTGGCACTGTGAACAACAAAGATTTCATGTCGCTAGCTATTAGTGTCACAAAAATCCTGTGTTACTGTTTCTATAAGAGTCAAACTGTACACACTATTTTGTGCGTTAAGCAATTACATAAATTTAGGGTGTTTCACGATTCTTAATTCTTTCATTGACTGTTAATAGTTTAAAAAAAGGTTTTAGTTTAAAGATTGAAAAGGGATGGAAGGAGAGCACAGGAAACCGGCTGTGGTAGCACAGCATTACTTGCTGAATGCACAGCGGCACTGTGAACAACAATGACTTTAGGTCACTAGCTATTTGTGCTGTACAGATAGTGATAAGTCTATTATGGAAATACATCAGAATGTTTTACTTCTTAGTTTTTGTCCATACGTTTTTTTATATCATAAATAGTGTAATGACTTGAAAGAACAAACTTTAATCTCAAGGAAAATGCGAATCTTCTAACATGTATTGAGATATTCTTGTCAAAACAAACTCAAAAATGGAAAAATGAAAGGAAGGAGTAAGAGAGCTTATCATATTCTGAGTGAAGAAACTAGGACAGAACTGGCTGAAACCGGTTTACTTCCTGATTACACAGTGGCACTGTGAACAACAAAGATTTCATGTCGCTAGCTATTAGTGTCACAAAAATCCTGTGTTACTGTTTCTATAAGAGTCAAACTGTACACACTATTTTGTGCGTTAAGCAATTACATAAATTTAGGGTGTTTCACGATTCTTAATTCTTTCATTGACTGTTAATAGTTTAAAAAAAGGTTTTAGTTTAAAGATTGAAAAGGGATGGAAGGCGAGCACAGGAAACCGGCTGTGGTAGCACAGCATTACTTGCTGAATGCACAGCGGCACTGTGAACAACAATGACTTTAGGTCACTAGCTATTTGTGCTGTACAGATAGTGATAAGTCTATTATTAATTGTACATAATTGTACATAAAATACAACTATTTTGTGTTTTAGGTGATTTTACGATTCTTAATGCTGTTTTTGTAATGACTGGTTATTTTAAGAAATGTTAGGTTTAAAGGTTAATAGAAAAACATGGACAAACAACAATATCCCAACAAAGAAAAGAGATTAAATTTGACTGAGTAAAAATAAATTACAAGTTGTCATTTTTCAGTGAGTCTACCTTTTAAAAGGTATCAAGTTAACTAAAAAAAGGTGAATATTACATTGATTGCCTATACCGTAAGTCTCTGTAAACCAAATAGCTGTCTGTGTTCTTGGTCTCATATCAAAAAGGCGTAATTTACTATTTTTATCTTAATATAGACTGATTGTATTATGATTGTGGTATATGATCAAGTGTGAATTTAGATCAGGGTGAATTTAGAGTGG